AGGATACTACGAGGATTACGAGTTAACAAGAACGGACACAGGATGGTAATCACATCCGGTAGTAAAACGCAGATAATGGCGGATAATGAACCAGCTTGATTCGCTTCAACCATGGCTTACACAACCGTCAGCTCAATTTGAACTATTTCTGTGGCTCATGAAAGTCTTGAAAAGCCCATTCGGTGATATTAGTAGTTCCCCAACGTTGACTCGACGAAAGATACAGCTCCGTTTAAACCCTATTTTATCGAAGATAAAACTCTTCAAAGGCACATTTACTGATGTGCGTGTGATGTGTATGTGTGTAAGTACAATGTAGTTTCCGACGTTGAAACTCTACTTGACGAGGGATGTACTTATATGAACTAGAATGCGGTGGTAATGGAGGTAGTGGGTGGTAAGGCCAAAGAGGTATCCTAGTGTAATGGAATATATCAGAAAAATCACTTTGTGCTCGAAAGCGTATATGTTACCTTGAAAAGGGTAGGTAGAGTGATCGCAGGTAACACTATTGCAGCGAGAGGAAGCTTTTAGGGTCGGATGTTTCGTTTCCAAAAGAATAGATTATCTATATCAAAGTAATACGGAAGTGTATCATCTGGGGCATGATTCCTCGTGATAACCGTTAGGCCACAGCAATGAAATGGATGACAGCCTCCACAGACTTCAAATCTAATGCGATAGGGTGATAGAAAACAAGGCAGGCCAAAAAAAACAAGATTCCATTTTTAACTTTTGACATCATAAACCTTGAATGATATGAGAGGAAATGATGCCTATATTGTGCTAAATTTACTGTAAACTATTACAACATCCATTTGTCACTGAATCAACTGAAAAATAAAAGTTTTCCATCATTGTACAATTAGGTTTGATGCCGTAGGAACATCAAATATAAAGGGAATGAAATACACCACTGCATCAGAGTAAAAGACAAAACAACAAATCATGATCAGAGCCTTGTCTTGTCCCCTGTCTTCATATTTATCTACCATCCACCTTCCGGCATGGAACTCCTTACCAGCCTCGGTTTTCCCTGACAGTCCTAACATGACTAAGTTCAAGACTGCAGTAAACAGATTCTTGTTGAATTCCTCCTAGAGATTTTCTACTTTTTGACAATAATGTACCATGTAATTATGTATTATTATAATGTATTTGATAAGGGTATGTATGTGTAATCAAGCGAGGGGAATTGATGTGACATATTGAACCGAAGATCATCGTTATACGATGTTAAGATCAGGTTCACTCTGCACTGATTAGAAAAAAAAAACAGACATCTTTGCCCATTTTCGGCATGTCAGAGGCCAACAAAATTTCTTCTTCTTTTTTTCAAAAATCGGGCGCGAAATTAAAATGAATGTCATCCATAAAAATTAGTTGCTGTGGCATTACTCGTAACAAATACGCCTGCAGTATGACATAAGGGCTAGCTCGCGGAAGCAACATTAGCACATTTTTTTTATCAGACAGTAGATAGTTATACATCCTCCTATTCATCCTCTGATGCCTGTAGGCAAGCTTTTCATCAGTCAATCACCTGCCCAGCGTACCGGCCTGCTGCCCGTCCTCCCCGCTGCGGCAGCGCTGGCCAGCCGCCACCAGACATCCATGACACCGCCTAGTCCCCAGGCAGGGAGTGATGGGGAAACTGTCAGCTTCTGTGTACCGGTTTCTGACAGCTCCTTGCCCTTCAATATCGACCCTAAGCCTTCCAGGCAAAAGGCAACCCTATCAAGATAAGCCCAAGGAGGGATTTGACCCTGAATTGTCAACATTTCTTCCCTTCAAATTGTTATTTTCCATTGTTGCCGCTTGACACAATTAGACCTTGTCAGATTTAACGGTTGATGAATTATGGAAACGGTCGAATGGTTTGATCAAATCATGAACGTAAAAATCACATGTGATTTTTATCTCCATGATCAAATGCAAGGCAGCACAAATGGTAGGCCCCAAGCAAAATAGATTTAACTAGAGTTCCACGATCTCATACCTTCGCCAAATGATGTTAGCCTTTATGACTAAGAAATTATAGATTAAAATCCCCCTGATTGTGCAAATAGGATCCTATATCGCATCAATTATATCTGTTGATCATATTCTACACCAGAAGACAGTCTTATCTTATCAATACATGCCATTATAGCATGTCCTCATAAATCATGCAAATGAGGTCCTTATTTGAATAAGTTATGTTTAATTATGTTCACCTTCACATAACTTTCAAATATCCCAAGTATGAAATTCCTCACATTACCAATATGTAATTCTAATATTTTCTCATTAATTATGCAAATTAAGTCTTCATTTGCATAATCGATATCTGCCTGTATTTCTGCCGTTCTGAATTACATACTAGTATGTCACAAGCTTGAATAGTCCTATCATGGAATGCAGCTGATTTATAGAATTTCCTCATTAATTATGCAAATTACATTAATATTTGCATAATTGTAATATCATTATGTCAAGCATCACTTCAGCTACCTGCATGACAAAAATCATGACGATCCATTAATCGGTTCTTGAATTATCCGCCTTTAAACATTTTTAAACTAATGCCCCTGCAGTTCCAGAGCAAGCCGCTAGGGGGCCCAAACTCACGTCACTTGTTCCCCAGCACAAGAGCTACCTACCATTCAAATTTCGTCAGCCTAGCATGTCTAGATCACGAGATATCAAAACCGGAAGTTCAGCTGCAGTACCATAACAAGCCGCTAGGGGGTCCAAAATCTAATCAGTTCCACGTCTCATCAAGACCTACACACCTACCAAATATCAAGACAATCCATCTAGGCGTTCTTGAGTTATCGTGCTCACACACACACACACACACACACAGACACACGAACGCCAACGAAAACATAACCTTCTTGGCGAAGGTAAAGATGTGTATGTGTAGATATTAGATACTCTTTTATTAGATAGCATAAAGTACAATTTCTTTGATTCATCCAAGAGGAAAATGTAAAACTCCCTTATATGAATCGAATAAACGCTGCATTTTACGAGTTCCATAGTTACAAATAATATTACATGTACTTGGAAAAGGTATGGGGACGCGGAACTGTTAATTTTGAAAAGTACGCCATGAAAGAAATGTGGAGATGGCATGGCTACCGGACCACCTGGCGGGATGAAGAAGAAGTGCAACAAGCTAAAGTACTTGACCTGTTGCGTCAATGATCAATAGCCGCTTTGGGAGATAGACACTGTTGTGGTTATGACCTTTGCCAAGAAGGTCATGCTCCCGGTAGCGCTTGTATCTTTACTCTGTGAGTGTACGTAACACGCTACAATGTATCTGGAGAAGGCTTAGACGGGTTGTCGTGATGTTTGTTTAATAGGGAAGTCTTGATGAGACCTCGAAATGACTAGATGTTGGGCCTCCTAGTGGCTTGTTATTGCACTGCAGTAGAACATCCCTTAGAATTTCCGTATATATATATATTTATCACCGGAATAGCCTGTGTCTACAGAAGCTGTTGTAGCTGGAGGTTATTGACCCCTTCCAAGGTGGGTCCGTAGCTTAGCCAGGTTAAACATCAGGGCTTGTTGGGGATTGAACCCAGGATCTATGGATTCTGAGCCAAACACCTAACCATTACGCTACATGGTGCTTGAAACACTGAGATATAACCGCACAAATGAAAGTCCGGGAAGTCGAGTATAAGCAAGAATTACGCTTCATGTCAAGCATTACACTACGAATCCTACTTGTGTCGTTTTTTTGTTGTTGTTGTTTTCAACTAACAGAAGAAGCCACTCTGCAATAGGTACAAATAGCTGGCTTACGTTGCTTTATTCGTGCCTATGACTCCTATAACCGTGAACAATCCCCCAGCCTATCGTGTGTAACACGCGTAAATGTCAAACAGAAACCTGATACATCTGTCCAGAAAAGCGTCCACTCGGTTTATCCAAGTCTGACTGTTAATAAAGCCAGGCATCTCCTGCCTTACCCGCCGTTTGAACAGTCTTAAGGGGATCGTCGCTCAGCCATGGGTGTTTAGGCCATGTTGATTTGATCATATGGATGACATCCACGCGCGCATGACCATAATGTAAATCTTACAAAGTAGCTGCAAAATGAGCAAATATATGCCGTAAATGGTAAAAAAAGATATTGGAAAACGATATTTATGTTGCCGAATATCAAAATCCAAGAAGAAAATGTTCAGGAATGAAAATGGAGAGTCTATTATTCACCATGACAATAAAAATATTAATCTGTGTGTTTAGTCATTTGTTCAACCTTCATGACCACCTAGATTTCATAATGAAGAACTTTTTTGCTAAACTTTTTTATTCGCACGCTCGCATCAGTTTTGGGGTTCCCAGAGCATGTCATCCATATAATCAAATCAATATGGCCTTGGATGAAGGCGCAGTGAGAGGTACATTGTACCAGCTTATGTTGATCTGTAACTCAGAAAACAGTCTCAGCCAAAAAGGAACCACTGTAAACTATAAATCAACCAATCCATCGGTATTAAAGAAACTAAACGTGTACAGAAATAGATATCAAAAGATATGAAACGGAATATGAATGAATGAATGGGAAACGGAATATGAATGAATGAATGATTTATTCAGGTTAAAATCACTCGCAGTCATTTTGCTGAATTGTGGATTTCATTACAATACTTGTCACTTTCTAAAAGACAATGGTAGCATTTACATTCATAATATATAATAAGTCCTTTTTATTAATATTAAACAATTCCATCGCAGCATAATAACAAACTTTCCATTACAAATAAATAGAAATTGTTAAATCCTTAAATACCTAGTTGCACATACATATTTAGTTGTCAAACTAATGGTATCCTGGCTAGAAAACGTTACAGAACAAAGTTGTCATCAAAGAAATACTACATATTCGTCGCGTCTAGAACTAGAGAAAATATTTTGTACAACAGCTCAACAAATTCACGCATATACTGATGACATCGCTTCAAGATGTCTCTACAAAAACAACTAACCAGCATGATCTAAACTGAAGTTACCATCAGAAATGGCACATGAGAAGGCACGGTATAGCGTGCGTTTGAAATAGATTTCATCTTTTTCTTGTGGCTGAGCGGCGAGGCCGATGTGGACAGAGGGGAACTGGTAGTAAAGCCTGGTCCGGGAGGACTTTCTATCACAGCGGTGGTCAGGATGAGGGAAGCCGGGCGAACAGCCCGAGTCAAGCCGCCTGCCTGTGCTGCTGTAGTCCGGTGCAGCATGGCCGGCATGGGCGAACGCTCGTTCGAAATCCTTCGGGTTTTACTGAGATCCGGCGTCTTGACATGCTGGGTTCTTTTTGGTCTCCTTCTCTGCATCCTGACTAAACAACACGAACAGGCCTGGCTCGCCGACCTGTCGTTCAGAAACGCGGCCCGAAAACCGTTCCTAAAGTTTCTGTTCAGCAGAGCGTAGACAAACGGGTTGACACAGGTGTGGAAGAACACCAGCCAGTGGCTGATCGGGAAGGCGTACGTGTAGAAAGGTCTCTTTTCGACGTCGTCCAAGTCCCCGAAGTCTATCACCATGGTCAGGACGTGTAGGGGGAGGTACAACAGGGTAAAGAGTATAACGACAACCGCCATCATCTTGAAAACGCGGATTTTATTCCCCAGCCCCGCTCTGTTTCTGCTCTGCTGGCGGTTTCTTCTGACGCTGGATAAGTACAGCTGTGCGGCCGCTCTGGTGTACAGCGTTGCGATGACCAAGAGGGGGAGGGCAAAGCAGAGCACGAGGAGAGAAGTTGTGTACGCCCGCCTGTTCTCCCATGTCTCCCACCCCTCAGAACAGGTCTGAACTTTGCCGTAGTCTTTATACACCATCATGGGCACGATGGGCGCCATGATACCGATACTTGACGCCCAGATGACTGCAATAACAATGGCACACACTTTGCTGCTGAGCCTCTCATCTGTTGGTGCCATCACGGCCAGGTACCTACATCAGGAGACATCATTATAGTTCAGTGAGATAGATCACACATTTCCTTTCTTATGATTATGTAGAAGCCGAAAAGGACGTAGTGTCGGTACTTTTTTGTACTTACCATACTAACCTACTCGATCACACATGTACATTAGATTTCGCTGAAGCAGATCAGCTTCTAGCAAACCTGTTTGCAGATCTCGTAAATTGACAGCGTTTTCCTGACATAAACACCCCGGGCAGTTTTTTTTCTAGATTAAACATGACTAAGTTCAAGACTGCAGTAAACAGATTCTTGTTGAATTCCTCCTAGAGATTTTCTACTTTTTGACAATAATGTACCATGTAATTATGTATTATGTATAATGTATTTGATAAGGGTATGTATGTGTAATCAAGCGAGGGGAATTGATGTGACATATTGAACCGAAACGATGTTAAGATCAGGTTCATTCTGCACTGATTAGAAAAAAAAAAAAGCAAATTTGCTGATAGCTGCCGGGTTCTGACTCTAGTGCTTGCCAAAGTATGGACGCTGCCAGCCTGGTTACCATATTCAACGGCAAATATTCTTGGTTACCATATTTTTGAGCAAAAACAATATGTTTTCCTTCGGTAAACATAAAAAAAAACATTGCTGAATATATGGTCCAGTGTTCAATCCATCATGTTGTACTGACCTGTCTACTGCGATGGCGACTAGAGTGAAGACAGACGCACACATGGCCACGCCCTGCGCCATGGGCTGCACTTTACACATCACCTCACCGAACATCCAGCCTGGGGAGAAGTGACATCAAGTTACTTTAGTAGAAAGTAACACCAACATGAAACGGAGAGAGAATGCACAAAAAGAAAGAGAGTTCCACGACTTCATACCTTCGACGAAATTATACATTTTTCTTATTGATTATGATAATAAGATCCTCATTTCATTTCCATCCAAAATTTGTGACCCTAGCATGTCTAGATCAAGAGATATCAAAACCGGAATTTCTGCTGCAGTACCTAGAAAAGCCGCCAGGGGGCCCAAAATTTAATCATTTCTAGGTCTCATAAAGACCTACCTACCTACCAAATTTTATAACAATCCATTTAAAGCTTCTTGAGTTATCGTGCACATACATACATATACACACACCACCCACCCACTCACACACACACACATTCACTCACACACACACACACACACACACACACACACACACACAAACACACTCACACACACAGACGCAACTGAAAACATAACCTTCTTGGCGAAGGTAACTAGTGGATACTTAAATGAACAGCTGTTAAACATTGTGTAAGAAGAATATGAAAGAAGCATTTTAAGAAGTCTGTTTAAAGCAAATAGTTAAGAATAGCCGCAAAGGTCACAAGTATTTCTGGCAAAGACCCAACCTAGAAGGCTACACAAAGAAAATACCTCCGGCCCTGTAGAAATCATAACATGTTATTAGTTTTCATAACACGTCATGACGAAAACATCAAAAGATGCCATCGTGACCGAAGTCATCATTAAACATACAATTTGCTGGAAGCTGTTTTCAAGTTATTAGATTATTTTTTGACATCTCCGATGGAATTGAAAATGAGCGTTAGACGAAAGAGATGCTTGACAACATCATATCCTGTGCACACGCAGTACTTAATATGGGCGGGGTCGTGTGGCGCAGCGGCAGCGTTCTCGACTCGGAACCAGAGGCCCCGGGTTCGAGTCCTGACATGCCACCGATCTTGTGCCCTTGGGAAAGGCACTTTACACGACTTTCCTCACTTCGCTCAGGTGTAAATGAGTATTGTATTATCCCCTGTGTTGGTGTCGGCATTAATATAAGTTGAAAAAACTTGAGTGTGTCGTCACCACGTCTTGTGATTACATGTTTCGGAATAATATAGAAAATGTCCTCCATAGCCTCTTATGGAAATATGACAGCTGCAGCTCCTGTCTTATCTTTTGCGATAATTAGATATATCAATTAGAAATGTAATTATTTTGCAAGTACTCGTAGCATCACGATCATCACATACTAATTCACAAATGAATATCTTAACCACCTACGCCTGTCAAATGTAATATCTGAGCAATGTTTTTCATCGTTTGTTGCACAATCACAATCACAATCATTTAATAATAAGGGTAATTTATCTTTTAATCTTGTAGTATTGGGGAGGGCCAAAGATAAACCACCGGGTTTCCGGCGGCCCTCCCATGCATGTCTATTTATCTTTCAATTGTTTCATTTCAGCTTATTTGTAAGGGCAAAATAATAAATAAACAATTTTTTTGATAGATCAATGTGTACATCCTATGTGCTTACCACCCTTCAGGTTGTCCAGCATGGTAAACGGCATGCAGAATCCGCCCATGAACAAGTCACTCACAGCCAGGTTCACGATGAAATAGTTGGTGACATTCTTCATGTTTCTGTTCTTGGCCACCACTACGCAGACCAGGACGTTTCCGACCATGCAGAGGACGAAGATGATGATGTTACAGATAATGAGGACGCACATCACAGCCAGGGGATGTTTCCACGCCGCCAGGTCTTCCTCCATGTTCGTCAAATTAGACGTGTTGCTGAAATTCATTCTGAACAAAAAAATTGGAGCCGAATAGGCTACTTTATATAAGGCCGTAATTTTTTTAATGATTTGTTTTCCTAGCTGATGCTTGAATAAGAATTGGTCCGTTGGCTGAACCTGAAAAGATACAAATTCAGTATAAGGCCACAGCATGTGATTTGTATGGATGACATCCTCCGCAGACTCCAAATCTAATGCGATAGGGCGAAAAAAAATCAAGGCGGGCCAAACAAAAAATTCCTACACCTTCAAATTTTGACATAATAAACCTTGTTAAACAAGAAGTGATACCTGTATTGTGCTAAGTTTACTGTCAACTATTACAACATTTCTTGTATAACAAAAGTTTTCAATCCTTGTACAGATGGTTTTGATTCAGTGGGAACATCACATATAAAAGGAATGAAATACATCACTGCAAGTAAACAACAAGGATCAGAGTCTTGTCTTGTCTCCTCTCTTCATATTCATCTGCCATCCACGTTCCGGCATGGCAACAGACATCTTTGCCCATTTTCGTTTCGGCATGTTGACCACTGTCAGAGGGAAACAATTTTTTGTCCCAAATCAGGCGAAAATTAATGTGCGCGCTGATGACATCCTTAAAATTACTTGCTCTGGCCTAATGTAAGTTAAAGGCAGACTCAATAGAAGAAGTAATTATTCTGACGACATAATAAGGCTTCAGTTGATCAATCGAGACGACTTTAATAGAAAAGAAACCATATCGTCAAAAGCATACGGCATTATGGAAAACATGTACATGTCTATGCTAATTACGGTAGATTCAAGAGAAAACGATACACAATTCTAATATGGATTATACTTTCCATTATTTAATTGCAAATACATCGTAATCATTCCACTACAGTCCTCACGTCATACTACAATTATGAAGCACACAAATATTATCTAATCCTTTAATTCTCTTCCGTCATAAACATTCTGCACAAAAATAATTATATAAATTGAGGGAAATGTAATTAGTTCGCAGATGCTCATAGCATCACCATCATTCCTCGTTTATTACAAAATCACAGCTGTCCTAGGAAACTAATATGGATATTAGTAATTTGAACTTTCCTGAATGTACGTCAGATAATAGATATTTTTACAGACGGACTCAGATGGAATTCTCAATGGAATTCTAAACTTTTATTCATTTCGTCGGTGAAGGTTAGACATCGATGTGTTTACAGACACACTCAATAGAAGTCTATACTTTTATTCAATTCGTCGGTGAAGATTAGACATCAAAGTATCTACAAACACATTCAATGGAATTCTAAACTTTTATTCAATTAGTCGGTGAAGGTTAGACATCGATGTGTTTACAGACACACTCAATAGAAATCTATTCCTTTATTTAATTCGTCGGTGAAGGTTAGACATCCAGGTAATACATGTAAGATACGCCAAAACAGTTACTCAAGCAACAGGATATGACTTTGGAAACGTATTTTATTCAATTCCTTTTTTGTGAGATTTTGTCTTTTCTAAGATTGTGGAGCACAGCCTTTAAAGATCTAGCATGTATAGCTATGGACAGAATGTCTACAAAATCTTCAAGAAGCAGACAGGATCCATACAATCATTTCAAAGTAAAGGTGCAACGTTACTGCCCGGAATCTAGCTAATACGGGTTCTATGCACATTGAATCCTAATGTGTACTGATCTACATGAAACTCCCACAGGGTAATCTACTGTCCATAATAAGGCCGTGTTGATTCGATTATATGGATGACATCCGCGCGCGCAAAAAAAAAGAGAAATTTTCGACCATATATACTGTAAATCGTACAAAATGAGCGAATATATGTCGTATGTTGAAAAAAAAAAAGGATTGGAAAACGATACTAATTTGTCATATAATACCGAAATCAGTTCAAGAGAAGAAGAAAAATGTGAAGAAATGAAAATGAAGAGTCTAGTATTATTCGCCATGCCATACTCCTGTGTGTTTAGTCTTTTGTTCAACCTTTATGATCATGTAGATTTCAGTAACTAATATTTTTTATTCGCACGCTCGCATCTGTTTTGGGGTTCCCAGAGGATGCCATCCATATAATCAAACCAACATGGCCTAACTGGCACATGTGCATGTAGTACCTGCCTTGGGATAAAAAAGTTTTTTTAAGAAGTAGATGAAAGGTTGCGGATGTCGGATCTGAAGGTTTTAACCACGTTTATATACTCGTATATCCATTAGCGAGCTTCGTTCCTGTAGGTACTGACAGGATGTGCAGTAGACTGAACATTGTGCCTGGGTTTTTGTCAATGTCGAGCGAGTAAACAGGATGTACATGTACGTATAAGCCGCGTGTACTTGACTGAGTAGGAATGTCTTTTTAGCTAAGGCCACACCAAGTAAATTTTATGGATGGCCTGTTCCTAGAAAAAAAAAAAAATGAAATTCCGCTTCCTGTAACTATGACCAAAGAGTCACGACAGTGCCACAAATCGTTAGATTGACGTGAAACCCGTAATGCGAAATGGGTAAAGAGTACATGATTGTTTCTGCAGGCCTGCAAAAATGTGAAAGAAACAGGACAGGACGACAACTGCTGTTCCACCTGATTTATTGCTGTTTTGATAATGAACTAGAGTTCGATGATCTCATACCTCCATGACATGTGTATTGTTTTCATAAATCTTACGCATGGTGATGACCACCTGTAATTGGCTTACATTTTTCACCGCATATATTCAAATCATATGAGGCCATTTGCATATATTGTATCAATTGATCATACTCTCCACCAAATGACAGGGTTATCTTAAGAAATAAGGCTATTCTAGCGTTTCCTCATAAATTATGCAAATGAGGTCCTGATTGACATAAATTATGTTTAGTGATGTTCACCTTCACTGAACTTCCAATTATGGCAAGTATTAAATTCCCAGCAGTTACCACCATAAAATTGTACCAATTTGCCATTTATTATGCAAATTAGGTCTTCCTTTACATAATCGATATCTGCCAATGATCTTGTCGTTCTCACTAACATATGTCTATAGAGTTTTATAGCCCTAATATGAAATAAAGCTTGATTTATAGAATTTCCTCATTAATTATGCAAATTAGATCCTGATTTGCATAATTATATTTTGATTATGTCAAGCATCACTTAAGCTACCTACATACCAAAAATCATGATGATCCATCAAACGGTTGTTCAGTTATCCTCTCTCGAAGATTTTCAAAGAAACCACCCTGCAGTTCCAGAACAAGCCGCTAGGGGGACCAAACTCACGTGACTTCTTCCCGAGGACAAGAGCTACCTTCCATCCAAATTTCATGACCCTAGCATGTCCAGATCGCGAGATATCAAAACCGGAAGTTGCGCTGCAGTACCAAGGGAAGCCACTAGAGGGCCCAAAATCTAATCATTTCCAGTTTTCGTCACACCCTACCAACACACCAAGTATGAAACCAATCCATCCAGGCGTTCTTGAGTTATCTTGTTGACCAACAGACGGACGGACAGACGGACAGACGGACAGACGGACGGACAGATAAACGCAACTGAAAATATAACCTCCATGACACATTTCATGGAGGTAATAAAAGACTTCTTGCATGTTAATCTGTGTCACCTCATTCAATTTGTGTCCTAACATTTGTCGTCTCTTAGTATATTTCTAATCTAGGCATCTTGTTTTTTAAGGGCCCTTCTTGTTTTTTTCGCCCTCTCGCATTAGATATAGGGTCTCCAAAGGACGTCATCCATAAAATTTACTTGGTGAAGCCTAACAAGATGAAACGTGGGCACCATATCTAATGAAAATTGATTCGATGATAACTGTACAACCTACTGTATGATTAGCATATGCATGGGTGTATCACGGTGTGTGGGATATACGTATGGAATATATGTGGTAGTGATTTACAGTTTCGCGGTGCGCGCTATGACCAGCGCACTGAATTGCACTGGAAATACATTATGGACAAATAGTTACAGATATCTAAAAAAATTATTGGGATAAAAGTTTGTTAAATACATTACTTCGGTAAATACAATAAAAATACATATTTTGAATATAGATCTCTCTACTGAGTTGTCATATCGTACAATAGCTTATTCAATGCATCAAGATTAGAATGATATAGAACTAGAATTCCGAGATCTCATACCTCCATGAAATATGATCTTGATATGTAAATGTAAATTTCTTCTTTAATTGTGCAAATGACCTCTGCATTAACATGATATATGCATCGTGATGTATGTTAACTTTTGATTAACTTACAGATGTCCCAAGTATGACATTCTCATCATTCACCATTACGAAATCATAGAATTTTCGCATTAATTATGCAAATTAGGTCATCATTTGCATAATTAGTATGTGTTGAAGGTCCGCCTGCCATAGGTTACATACATTACATGTATGTAAGTAGTATAATGTAAAACACTGCAATTATAGAATTTCCTCATTAATTATGCAAATAAAGTCCTCATTTGCATAATTTGCATTTAATTATGTACATCTCTCTCTCAGCTACCTACACACCAAAAATAATGAAAATATGTTGTTCCTGTCTGGACTTATTGGCTTTTAAACATTTCGCCAGAAAGTGCCCTGCAGTTCCAGAACATATGACTTCTTCCCAAGCACGAGAGCTACCTTCCATCAAAATTTCATGACCCTAGCATTTCCAGATCGCGAGATATCAAAACCGGAAGTTGCGCTGCAGTACCAAGGGAAGCCACTAGGGGGACAAAAATCTCATCATTTCCAGTTTTCGTCACACCCTACCAACACACCAAGTATGAAACCAATCCATCCAGGCGTTCTTGAGTTATCTTGTTGACCAACAGACAGACGGACAGACGGACAGACGGACAGATAAACGCAACTGAAAATATAACCTCCATGACACATTTCATGGAGGTAGTTATATACTATTTGCCAGCTGTCATTGTTTGTAGAT